CCCCAAAACCCCAAAACCCCAAAACCCCTATTAAAACATTAGATTTTGGATCTAAATAAAAATTAAAAATGTATTATGTGAATTCTCCAAGTCGTGATAAGTATCTAAGCTTGTATTTACACAGGCCAGTAAGGATCACGCTTCCTCTTCCTAATGCCAAGCCAATGAGAGGGTGGACCTCTAAGAGCCAGGGATACCTCTTTGATACTGATCAAAAGAAATCTTTTGAAAAAGTTGTCAACTTCTGTGGTCTGGGCCCTCAAGTTTTATTAAATACTCCATCACCAAAGCAGCAGACTAATTCTCTTGCCGAAGCCCCTATTATCTCCTCTTTGAACCAGGTATCTCAGAGCTTGCCTCAGACAGAGACCATGAGCAGCAGTTCCAACGACTCTCATAGTAAAATAGAGACAAGAGAGGACTCAAAAGAACCGCTTGACCAAAAGTTGCATGTTGTTATAAAGCCAAAGGAGAAGAAACAGAACCCAAGTGTTGCCTCAAAGAAAGATTTGTATAAGTTGAGCACACTTATCCAGAACATTAACCCTTGTCTTTCCAGTGCTAAGTCTGATATCTCTCTAGAGCATCTTGACGAGTACTCAATCTCATCTACAGGGCTATATATGTCTAAAATTTTATGAGGGTTTAACTGGGAATTTGAAGTCTTCTTTGAAAAGAATAAACAGACAAAGAGAAGCAGAAGAAATCTACGATGCAAGCACAAAAACTGAGGGAAAGTATTTAAGAAGGCTTGGAATTTGTTCGATCACATGAGGATACATATCGGAAAGAAGCCTTACGCTTGAAAGTTTTGAGGCAAATGTTTTGCCCAGAATGGGAACTTAACAAAACACCTTAAACTTCATCAAGGTAGAAGACCAGCCCATGATTGAGATCTTTGCGGAAAAATATATACCGAAAAATTTAACTTGAGGGCTCATTTAGTTAACAAACATGGTATTGATCAAGACTTGGACTTTGAATAAAGTGAATGTTCTTTAGGCTACTGTCAGATCCATCAGTTTACTTGAAGACGAGAGAATTTATTCTATTTTCCTTATGCGGAATAAATAATAGAAAAGCTCTTGATTTTTCAGAAGGCGTTATTAACGCTCTATTGTTAGAATCTCGACAGAAGCCAACATTATTTGGTCATAGAATCAATAATTCAAACATAATAACTTGTTACGAAAAATAAATCTGATTATAATATCCATCCTTGTTCATTATAATTTTTTTCTACAATAAAATCAACAGATCGTGCACAAAAAGGGGTTTTGGGGTTTTGGGGTTTTGGGGTTTTGGGGTTTTGGGG